AGGTGTGTTTCGAGGAGAACTGAAGAGAGGAGACACTCTAGCTGTCCATTTCTAGCAGGCGTGTCTCTCTTCAGTAAATCTGAGGCGATCCTGTTCATGAACTTGAGCCCTGTTAACTACAACGAGCAGGAAATTCGATTTGCAATTTGGACAACCATGTGAATATTCCCCCATGATTGTACAACGTTGTGTGATTCAGATCAACCACTTACTCTTTTATGAGGTAACTAAACACAGTACGCCTATGTATCCATGTAGCACTTAATCATGTATAACTGGAGATGTACTGTATGATCCAGGGAGACACAAGATTGAGACGTCTCCTTGCTGGTAAAACAAAACCTCAGTATTACAAGCTGAATGCAACCCTACCTACCTAAAATATTCCAATAAACTTGCACACTTGTATTATAGCATGAGTCCAGCATTAGCTACTGTACAGAGAAAAAAAAAAAACGAGATTCAGACTTTTGTTTTATGAGACTTAGACAGCTGTCCTCATCTTCCACAGCTGCTCGGGCTTCTTGATGCAGCAGAGAAGATCATCTCCTGTCTGCACGCTATTACAACCTGCAACACACACATCCTTTTTCCAGCGCGGGTATAAGCAAACTCACAGACATACAGTTTGTGCACACCTGGCATGAGAAAAAAAACAAAAAAAACAGAACAGAAAAGGAATCACGCATCCAGTGACCACTACATGCCCGTATGAGAAACGTGTTTCACACACACAAACACACTCTTGATCACACACACAAATACACACAACAGTCCTAAGGGCGATCATTTGTCATCTGCTGAGGAATTTACACCCATGCTCTTTATGCTGAGGGCTCGGTCTTGAGGCATTCCTCTGAAAATTTATGTCCAAACAGCTGTGGTCTCATCCGCCTCCGTATGGACCTTGAAGACAACGCTGTCCCAGGAATTATGAGGGGGATCCAATCCATTACACACCTCAAATCCGCTATGGTGTGTGCGTATATGTGAGCTGTTTTCACTGTATGTCTTCGTATGTCCCTTTAGAATAAGTAACGGTGAGTGTTTTCCTGCTTTCACGGTGTGCTCACAGCTGCCTACCTCCCTATGTTTGTGTGAGTGTGTGTATGTAGGATTGAGGGATGGTTTTGCGCTCAGCGCTTTGATGGCTGAATGCTTATCCTGTGGCTTTATGATTCGGAAGCCTATAGTTATAGAGGAGGGGGGGGGAGCCCTGATTTCACATTGCAGCCATATGGACTGTCAAGTTTCCCTCTCAAAGTGAGGTCAACATTAGAGGTAAACACCGGACTAGTAATGGATGAGGTCTTTAAATGGCCACAGATTCCGCAACACAGTGACATCACAAAGCTGGTCTGCACATGGGAGAAAGAAGATTAATGATCCCTGTTTAATATGGGTGTTCCATTATCAAAGCTTTATTTGTCCATTAAAGGCATTCGCAAGTGATTTTCTTCTACACTACATCACCACTGCTAATTCTAACTTTAAGAGAAAAAAAAAAAGATGGCAACCTTCTCCTTGGTTTGAACCCTTAACCCTCAAGCCCAAGCTTCATTCCCTAAAATGATTTTCTGTTTTCATTCCTAATAGTTCATTTAAACCTGATAAATGGCAGGCCAGCCCCCCGCTCCTTCAGCGAGGAGTATTTGTGCTCTGTTATTGTTTCTCTCTCTGCAGATTACACACACTGGCAGGAGGAAGGTAACTTAAAGGAGGGAAACTCAATAAAGTTTGATGATGATGTAATGTGTTTAGCAAGGCGGGTTCAAGGCCTCGCTCTGCGCATGTTTTCAGCATACCGTCATTTTCTTGACACTGCCAAATCTCACGAGGATGTACAGTATGTGAGGGAGGGCAGAAATATGAAAGGTGTATTAAGACCTCGTGTTCTTTCTGATTAGGTTGATTAGACACAGCTGCTGCTTTTTGCTACCTATTGTTTCAGGATGTTGTAACATTTCAGCACAGAGCATGAGGAGTAACGAGTAAGATGGATTAGAAAAAGAGAAAGAGGGGACACAATCTTTCTTATGTGTCAGACAGATACTCAACCACATCCTCTTTTTTTTTCTCCTGCACAATATCACCCAAAAACATTACAACTACTGAATTATCTAGAACAACTCTGAGAGGGGGATATGAAGACTGGCGACAGTCTCACCATTGAGGGTTATAGTAATCAGGACAATATATGTAATAAGGGCAATAATAAATGAGAACGGCCAATCCACAAGAGAAGCTATGATTTAAAAGATGGGATGTCACAAAAGTAACAATTGACACGATTAAAGCTCTTGTGAGGAACTCTTGAGTTGTGTTGACTTTGGAGCCCCCCTGTGGAAAAAAGGACAATTTATCTCTTTGCTGATCTTACCCTGTTTATATGTTAATTCGTATTATTTTCTGATAAAAAAAAAAACATTTTCTTTATGTATTTTAAATGTCCAATGTGCAACTTTGATTTATCTTTGGCCTGAACATTTTATAAAAAAAAGGTGGTTGCTGCTGCAGCTTGTCATTAATCTGACCTACCCCGAGGCAGCAGGGTCAGGCATTAAAAATAACTATATTTATTATCAGTCTTCTCTATTATAATCTTCTTTGCTTTTTTAGGTTATATAGAGGTAACAATATTCATTTCAGACACAATCAGCTAAAAACTCCACACAGGGAGTTCAACTATATGCAGCCTAGTCAATAGAAATTAATGTTTTAAGATTTCTTTATTAAAAATGTTTTAAAAAGTCATATTCCAGAAAATAAAATACACCTACAACATCAAGTCTAAAGAAGAAAGAAGAAAAGGGGATTCAGCCTCAGTTGGGACACCCTGGTGGTCTGACCTTCAGTCTCACCAGATGACTGCTTAAAAAATGTAGCGTGCGTGTGTTTGCAGGAAGGTGAGGGTTAAAAAAAAAAAAAGGAAAACATTGTCATCATGATGAATCAGCAGCTCTGTCAGAAGGCCAAGGTGAACAGCAAGTGGCACAAATGGCTGCAAGGAATTTCTGGATTGTCAGACAGAATAAGCTGCACTTCCAGAATCCAGCTCTAAAGGTGTCTGTGGTGTTTTAAAAAAGTGTGATGCACATCCTGTTTGTCAGTCATAAAGCCAGAATCCCATCATCATGAATAGTAAAACAAAAATCGAACAACACTGTTGCTATACAGGTCAAAGTCAGACCCGGTTGCCAGCTTTAAGGACAACAGCCTTTGTGCATGGGGCACTCAAACTGTCTGCTAGGCCTTTTTTTTTTCTAACCAGAACACTAACTTGACCTAAAACATGTACTTAGTCCTGAGTTATTTAACTTTGCTTAAGAGGTTTGTAAATTGCCAAATGCAAGCAAAGAGATAGGATGACTAATACATTTGTTTTCTTTTTATAAACCTGTAGAACTTCTTGATTTACATTGACAGCCCTAAAAACTTGTAGACTACCCAATTGATATTTGATAGAAAACAAAGAACATCAGGGACTTTAAGAACTTGCACAACAGTTATAATTCATATTTAGTGATTAAATGCTAATTATTCTAATGTCCTTGGAGTTAAGCATTCAGTGAATGTGAAGTACAATAACAACAAGTATTAGGGTGTCATCATCCTCAGTTTACCTCATCCTAAATCCTCAATCAGGTGCTCCAACGGGTTAATGGAGTCTGTTTCCAGCACACTGCATCCTTTTTGGAGTTTAAAAAGTAGGGGGAAAAAAAAAGCTGCTTGTGTTGCCTGAGGTGGTCGCTTGGTCTGATGCCTTTCACTCTATGTAATATAAACTTCCTCACAAACAGCATAAATAAACAACCGCAGGGACAAATCCAGAGTTTGGAGCTTGTTAGGGCACAGAATTTCAACATGAGAGTTTGTTTGTTCAAATTTGCTTGCACAGTGACCTAACTCCTTTATACTGAGCACATGTGGGAACGAGGGTGGAGGAAGGGGAACATTGTTGAGAAGGAGGGGGAAGGAAAAAAAAAGTCCATATTTTTCCAATATGAAGACGGGGCTGTTCATCAGGAAAAGTTTGACACATGTCTTTGAACAGTTAGGAACAACAACTTGGCAGAAAAAGGACGGAGTACTGTGGTTTGGCTATACAAATGTCGTTTTTGGATGCTGCTGCAGGGAGGATGAGAAAAGGCAAGATGATGAAAAGAATGAAAAGATGCATTCCTGAGAATGGAACTCACTGCCTGGATGTTTCCTGCGCTTGATTAGAGGGATGCAGGGACTTGTGGCTACATTAAGATTAAGATCTCAGTTGTCCACGAGGAATTACAGAAAGGAAGCTGTATGAAAGTCTTCATCAAATGTGACATTGTTTTTTTCTTTAAAGGAAGTCTCATCACCGCTTATGATTGTACTATGCAGCCATGGAGTGAAGTTACAAAAGGCTAGTTTGTAATCATAAGGTGACAAGTTTTACCCTTGGTTAATTAAGTCATGCTCTGTGATTTGTATTTAGTAAATTAAGGCAAATACTCAACTTTTTAGCAATTCTTAATTTGCTACTTTTCATAGTTCTCGAAACATAAGCTCGACAATATTTTTTAGCTATTTTGACGTGTAATTCTACACATATGAACATAAGGATATGTTGATTATGTGAAAGAGTTAAAGATACAAACATGTCACTGAGACTGTCGAGTAACAAGCACACCCCTAAACAACCTATAAGAAACTAAGTCAGTCACACAATTTCAATAGTGATTATGGCTGATCATGAAAACAAAGATAATCGGGACTTTACGATTATCGTGTTGAGTGCCATGTTGCGCTCATTTCTTCCAGATTGTGTCATGTATGGTAAATGATTCAGTGTTTGTTATATTTTGCCCCAAGAGTACATCACCACCAAGTCAAAAACTCAATTTATTTTCATTATCTATTTTTTATGTTTATTTTCATTTATTACTTGTTTTGTTTAAGTGTTCAGAATGTAAGTGTTGAGTGTTTCAGTTTGATAAATGAATGAGGCAGAAGTTGTAAAATCAGTGAATAATCTAGTTTAATCATGATCTCAATATCGATCTAAATAATTGTGATTAGGATTTTTTGCCATGATCGAGCAGCCCTAGCAGGCATGTCAGGATAGTGCAGAAATATTACGATAAGAAAACGCCCGCGAGGGATTAGACATTGCAATTTAACTGTTGGATGATACAGAAAAGAAGGACGTTGGCCACAAGCCCTGGTTACAGCAGATAAAACATTTATAATGTAAATATTCAATGTTAAAATTGGTTATGATGTATTGTAAGTCTCAGAAAGTGAAGACTGGCTTTAAGGCATTGTGTACAATATGAGTAAACCAAATATAATTGAGCCCATGTTAATTTGATCACACTTTCCTTCTGTGACTTGTCAAATGCTAAAAACTCCTACAATGGAGACTTGGAAGCTTGCAATGTGTTGTTTTTCCTAAGTTTTAAATTGAATAGTTCTATCAGGTGCAACATGTTTTTAAAAAGGATCAAAAATAAACTCAAACATCATTTCTTCTGAGTGTTTTTATGCTCAAAATAATTCAGACAAACTTTAAACAATACAATGTTAAACACATAAGAAACTGCAAAATAGAAAATGATGATTCATAGAATCATTTTCAAAGTGATGAAAAAAGACCTCTCACTATCTAAGAACGGATTCATACAATTTGAAAAACACATCATCTTACCTGATGATGTCACTTCTACTCACTTAGCTGATGAAAACTGTAATTGTTCATTTGCTTTGGAACCTGACAGAATTACACAAAATCTCAGCAACACAGTGATCTTTAAAAGAGAATAAGTCAAATCAAAAAGATTTTTGATAACCCTATCACCTTTAGCAGCAATGTGTAAAAACTGGGAAGCTATGGTGATTAGTTTTGTGTTTCTTTCACATCAAGCACCGTTTACTGACTTCTGCAGAGTCATCAAGAATCTGAGTGAGCATCCCAGATAAATGACATCGTGTACTTGTTCTGTATGCCTCATGTCTTCTTGTATCACTCTAAATAATAAAAGCTTAAAGATATTTTGTTGCCTTGTGAGTAAAAAAGCATTTGTTGTCCCCCAAAGTGGTACAAAATGCTTTGAAACCTGTCTGTGGAGCTCCTCCTTCACCTCAGCTCTGCTTTGGACGCTTTGTCTGTGGGCTGTCAGATGTTGTGTGTGCTGCTTTCTTGGATGCTCCTTTTTTTCTTGAGTCTTTTTCGTCTGGTTCATAGAGAGCGTTCCTGACAAAGCGTGCAGCAGCTCCCTTATCAAGACGAGCGGATTTCTTCTTGTCGGTGATCTCTTTCACTCTGTTCATGTAGGTCCTTATCCGCTCCTTAAAAACATAAAACAAGTACGGAGGAATAAGAAAAGACTCTTGAATAAGTGTGAACATATCAAAGTGTCTGAAAAAGACATACATACCAACTCCTGTTTAATTCCATGATCTCTTGGATTTATTCCTTGTGTTACCAAGTACACTGTCAGAAAAAAAAAAACATTGCAGCTTAGTTTTGTGGCAGAACTATATAATAACATACATGTTTATGCTATTAAAGAGTATGTTAAGACCCTAGTCCATCCTTGTACATGGTACATATTGGAAATTGCCCACATTGTGACCAAAAACAAGCAGCGTATTTGGCTTTTCGTTTTACTATCAAACTACAGAAAAAGGTTTAAAGATCTGTGAGGAAACCCCAAGATGCCATATAACATTTCTGATATGAAGTTAGTCATTTGACTGTCAAATTCAGGGCCATGTCCAACAACCCTCCAAGACCACAGTTAATTCACTTGTATCACACTCTCTGCATTTTACTTATATTGCTTAAATACACAAAGTAATTGAAGTTTAAACAGAATGGGGGGAAAACTTACTCCAGAATAATGAATTCAGGGTGTAGGCGGACATAAGATCCAGCTTGGCTTGATCCAAAGGGTCCAGCTGTCAATAACAAGATTAGTTTATTTATTAACACCTTTATATATTTATATATTTAAAAAAAAAAAAATCACACACAACATTCACTTTGAAAGAAGTTTTCAAGTTACCTTTTGCATGAGCTCGTTTCTGGGCATGGACATCAGCTTCTCCAACATGGTTTTAACAGACGAACCAGAAGAGTCAAAGCCTGTGAGCTGCTCGTCTATTTCGTGAGGGTAGTCCTCTGTCCTACCGTCCTCCGTCATTATTCCTGTGAAGAATTTACACAAAAGATAACCTTCTACTGTAAAGAGACTGGAATCATGTAAATAGCTTATTTTCAAATGCAGCTCGCTGGATAGCATACACATGCCCCTAAAAATAAACAGACGGACGTTTGCAAACACATACATAAGGTGACAATATAAACAATTTGTTTTTTTTGTTTTTTTTAAAGCTGTACATGCTCACCTGGAATAAATGTTGTCGTTATAACGTTAAAATCCTCAAGTTAGCTCTACTTTTCTCGTGTTGGCAGCAGACACGCTTTGCCTAGCAGGAAGTGACGTAGTAAAAAAAAAAAAACTACGACTTCTTCCTCTTCTGCTTCACTCTACTGCCGTCTGCCGTCTGGGGATACAAGTGGAGTTTCTACTGATAAACAGTCCTGACACAAATAGGTGTTTCAAATTTATAACATCTAAAACGTTTTTAATTTATCGCTTTCTAACGAATTTGTCTTGTATTTTTGCAAATCGATTTTGCTTCTTTTTACAGATTTTTTTTTTTTTTTTACTGCTTAGAAATGGTGTTACCATGGAAACCCCTCGGCGTCCGTTGCGGTAAAATGAACTGCGTTTGTGTGAGTGTGTGTGTGTGTGTGTGTGTGTGTGTGTGTGTCAGGGTGTCAGGGTGTCCGGTAACAGTTTAGGGGTGTTTAGGACTTGGACCGTACACAGTGACTAAGCTTGAGACATGGACAACTGTGATTTGGAGAAGCTCTCTGTCTCCAAAGGTAAACTCCAACCAGCATTCACAGCAGAGGTCACAGACTACAATGTTACAGTAGAGAGCGATGTCAACAAAGTGACTCTGGACCTGTCAACAAGTGACTGTGGGGCTTCATACAATATTGTAAGTCTTCCCTGCATGTTTTATGACGGTTCATTTTTGATTTCATGACTTCACATTAATTGTAACCCCCTTCTTCCTATATCTCTATACTGTCTTTCAGCTCTGTGGTGACGGTTCCAGGACCATTACACTGAGTGATGGGACAAACAGAGTACAGATCGAGGTGGTGGCTGAAGATGGGACCACAAAGAAATACTGTGTGGAAATCAACCGGCTGTCTGCGAAGATTGCAGACCTCAGTCATATGGCCTTGGAAGGAGATATTATACTGCATCCTGCCTTTTGTAGAAAAATCTATGAATACAATAGTGAGTAGAGACTTCATATGACACAGTATGTGATATGTGAAACTTTAATTCAGAATAATTATTAAAGTATAAATTTGCTTTTATGTAGACATTATGCAGTATATTTTCTGTGGCATAAGAATTACATTCAAACATTTCCATTTTCTATTTTTTTGTGTGTGTTTGAGCCCTGCCACAGTGTACATTTTTCTTCAACAGGTATTGTCCCCTTTCACTGTAATGCAGTGAGCGTGCTTGCGAAGGTGCCCGACAGAAATATTAAACTTACAGTGAATGGGGAAGACAACTCACAGCCAGTGCCGTTGAATTTTGGAGACACAGTGGTGGAGGTCTTAGTTTCTTCAGCAGATGGCAGTAATTCACAGGTAGGGTGAGACATGTGTGAGGTGGACTCTGGAATGTGTAATTAAAGGCTTTATGTGTGTTTGATCACCACGAAAAAAAGATATATAACAAAACATGGTAGCTCCCCATTTCATCTCTGCTTTACTTAATATATTACCAGGTAAATTAATCTTTCATCATAAGCTTAATTTTTATTATAGTTTCTCCATGTCCTTGAAAAATAGTGTAGAAATTTGAGTAGATATGTTTATGTTATGTAAGTCTTGATAATTTAAAGCCACACTATTTAATTTTTGTCAAAGCTACTTAACCTGATGTCCCTCTAACATTACCAGGTGTACACAGTGTTTGTGACTCGAGAGCTAATTCCCACAGCAGTGACCTTCAGTGATGAGAAAGAGCAGCTGGACTATGAATGTCCAGTATCTCTGACTGCTTTTTATAGACCTGTATCCATTAAGAACAGGTAAAAGATACAAAGGAAGACACTACATTTCAGAAAATATCAGCAGTGGTGGCAACAGATAGCAGTTTTATTCTATTCATAGTTATTTTAGATGTTTTTCTTACATTTAATGAAAGAAATATGCAAAAATGAATTAAGCCATTAACCATTAGCAAGATGCACAGTCTCAAGTCTTTCTTTTGAATTCAGTACATTGCTTTGGTTAATTAGATGAATTGACATCAATCATTTTGAATTATAAGAAGTTAAATAAAACATCTTTACAGTGTACTTCTTCGGTATCAAAGGCCATGCACATACTACATTTACTGTATATTATCTGTACAAATTCTGTCAAAAACTGTTTCTCCTCTTTATTCGCAGTGACCCAAAGCACATCTTTTCAAGGCCTTATATCGAGATGTTGGCACGAAGATCAAAAGTTGACCCGCTCAACAGTTGTCCTCTGGGAGAAGGCTGGAAGGTTGTTGAGCTGGACGTCGATAAGAAGATGTCAGCTGCTCTGGTCAAGTGTTTCTTTGCTTACAGAGGTGAAGTTCGAAGTCCTAGCTCCTGAAAATGTAAAGCAGAAATGCTGTGGAGGTAAAGCTGATGTTGGTTGAGTAAAGGAGCCAATTTTAGTATTTCTGCCTCTAGCCAAGAAATAATACAAAACAAGTAAAGGAGGAAGGTAATGTCTATGTAACCTCAAGACCTCAATACCACAGTTTTCATATTAAAGAAGAGAATAAAGGATACACTGTTGTCATTACCAGGAACCTTTTAGGGGAACAGTTATTCCAATGTGTGAGAGTAAAAACTTATTTTGCTATTTTCCTCGATCAATTAGCTTCTAGAGCAGCTGTACTTCAAGAGAGGCTCATCAACTACATTGTTAATATGTTCAATACACCCTGCCTTACCTCTCACAAGTCCTGATTACACTCCTTATACTATCACGTAACATGATGATACTGTAGACAACTATTAGGTTGCTGTAATGAGGGGGGTAGTATTACTTAACTAAGGCTTCATGTATCTAGCTGCAGTGTGCCATAGTCTGCATTATATGCCAGGCCTCCTCTGAGTCCTGCAAGCTTTCTTTGACCTGCTTGTTTTAATGAGTGGGTCAGAGTATATCAGGAGTATTAACATTACAGAAGGTGGCACCAGAACATCATGCAATGTGTGTTATTACTACATAAGTTGAATTGAATTGCTTAAACTTTATTTTCCTATTTTTTTAAGGGCAAGCAGTTTATTTATTCTGAAGAAAAATAAACTATTAACTTGATTAAACTGGCAACAAATATAAGATTTAAGTAAACTATTCAGTTCACTCTCTATTGTCCACGTCTAGTTTTATTTATCACCTTTACTGTTCTTTATTTTTATACACAGGATGTGACAATCTGATGAAACTGTCCGAGCTGGGGTCACACTTCCTGGACTGTCCTCACAAGCCCACAGGGGAGCTGGATGCTAAGGTCAGTGTTAAAGATTAAAGAGTGCCCTGCGATGTCAGAATCACTGCTATCGACCTTCACTCTGCTCATCCTTTATTCACAAGACAGCGCACCCTTCACAGTGACAAAGTGCTCAGTAGAACTATATGGTGTTCATGCAGTTAAGGTGGCAACGCAGATAAGAGTGTATAACGCAGGTATATGTTTGAACGTGAGAATTTAAATGTTATTTCACCCTGATTTACATTAAAGAAGTCTGACTCTTTCTTCATGACAGTCAGCAGGTCAATCCAGATGAAAGCTTTGATCTTTTTATTGATTGAACTTGGTGAATGCTTTTCTCCTGTGCTATATTTATTTTCAGGATGTCACAGAGACAAACTGGTATAAGAAGCACTTTGAATCATCTAGTTGTCTGGAGATAGAGACTCAACACAATTTGGAGGTAATACATTTGTTTTACTTTGCATTACAAGTAGAAAGTTACACTGCATTAAAAACTCAATACAAACAACCAATTCTTTTTACATCCAAACGATTATTTAATCTTTGTTTTGTCTGATGTATTTTATATTCATACTGCTAACTTGAAATGTTTTTATTAATGGACATACTGTATGAAGAGTCCAAATCCCTGCAATTGCAAAGTGTTACATATTGACATGCACAAGACAGATTTGTTGTGGGTACATTTCATTTCTAGAACTTACATTTGTTAAAGTTTAAATAAAAATGATTCTGAAGAAGAAATGATTGTACATCCCTTTTATACCACTTGATAAAATTTGATTATATTTTTGTTTTACTGCCCTGCCTGTAGAACGTGATTATTAAACTTTCTTTTGCCTACCACAGCTGCGTAACTGGGAGGAAAGACTTCAAATGACAGCCGGGGAAGACAATGTGGACAAACTGTGTGCCCTAGCCCAAGATCACGTGAATTTCTACCACAAGAACCTTCCAAAACCAGGTTTGTAGTCATTTTTGAATCAAGAGTGAAGGATTAGAAATAAAAAATATCCATCAGTCTATTGACCAGTACTGCCTGTAACAGTTATAAAAATGGTTTCTTCCTATTTAAATATCAAATCCTTCCTCCCTCTCCTGTGACCTTTTCTTCATTGACTGATTGATCACAATGCACATTACTTTGAAATCTAGAACAATTAAACGGGTAAGTTCTGAAATCAAAGCACTCGTTCCATCAAACTCTGTGTAACAAACTTGTCAATTAAAGCCTCACTAGTTTTAACATACCATCAATGACACAACGTTTCAGAACCTTTGGCCAGTAGACAGCAGAGTTCGTCACCCTGCCCTGGCACAGCAGCTCAGCTTCAGCCATTAAAATTACATGAAAAGGGGCGAGTTTGCGGTCTCCCCTGGAGCATCCTCTTTTATCTGACGTGTCAGGCACTCATGTTACTGCTTATCTTTTCTCGGCTACTTGTGCCTTGCTAATTGTTTGATGACTCTTCTGTAAGAATTGACACATGAGACGGATCTCCAACGGACTGAAAGAGCGTCATGACAGCCGAACCCACAAAACAGTGAATTAGACAGAAAGATGAAGATTGAGCGATGTGAGACAGGCTTTGATGGTAACAGTTGATTTGTCAACAATTTGTTGTTGTTGTTGTCGTTGTTGTTGTTCTCTCTTCATTAAAAGTAATTTTTAGAGACAGTGCTCTGCATATGTGATCATAAGGTGCATGCTTGATAAAAATACCCAGGCAACATTTTCACTGGCTGAGAGGATTAGTTTAAATGAAATATATTAGTTGAAAAGACATTAAAGAAAATATTTTGGAATAATCATGAAGTATAATAGCTACAGATGTGAATTTGATTCTCTCTACAATATAAAAGCTGTGACATCAGTGCACTCTGACAGATAAAGAGCACTCCTGCCAGAGGAAGCTGCACTCGATGAATATTTCATGCAAAGAGCACATGCAATCATTCGTCACTGAAAGAGAGAAGGACGTTAAACTGGAGACGCTTTTAATCCTCATTAAAGTGTACTCGTGTGTGTTTGAACTTAAAGGAGACAGGATTTTACAACCGCAGTGCAAGAGTTTTAAGGGGAAAAAACTTTTTTCATGAGAGAAGCAGATTTACAGGCTGTTTTTGTCTCTTCTGTTGGTCACTATATTCTGAGTGAAACCATGTTATCTTTATGTTGAAATACTGACTGGTGTTTTCTTTTCTTCATTAACAAACAGAATGTTTATGTCGGCATTAAAAATGTTGTTAACTTGTGAATGGTGAATGTACAAAAATCCAGTAGTGGACAAATCCTGAGCAGCTCATGAATCCCAATAATTTAATGCAAGGAGCTTTGTGACACAACCTAAGGGTTTCTGGAGTTGGAAAATCTCTATTATTTATGATGGAAAGACATTTGGTGTCTGTTGCCTCATGTTTGTCTGTCCAAGTTTGTTTCCAAGTTTTTTATTTTTTATATTTGTTATATAAATGATCCAAGTATTTTTGTGACAGACAAACAGTATATATAGTATTTGTCCTTATTTGTATTTAAAGTTTGAAGCACAGTGCTATGTATATGCATGATAATGGTTTATGATATATGTATGGTTTAGTATTTACATTAGTAAAACTCAGTAAGTTCTTACATGCTTAGATCATTATAGCTTTCCAGCAGTTTTTCTAAAAAAAAAGAAAAATCCCCTTCCAGCTTGAATAGCAATTTTTCACTGATGGATGTGAGCAACAAATCAGTGTTCAGAAATCTGAATTGTCAGTCCAATAAAGCAAATCACAAAGTAGTGAAGCTATCACACTACTTTGCATTCTGATACACAACCTTTCCCCCCGTTGTACCTTCTCCAGTCGACTAACACAGCTTTTGTATGAGTTAAAGTAGGCTCAAATGAGTATTGTATTATTTAAAGTAGCTGAAAGACTAAACTTGTTTGTAGTACAAAACAAGAGGATAAGTTCACATCTCTAAACTGATGCATTTTCTCTTTTGTAAATATATGGAATTAATATCTGGTCTTGTGATCTAATTTCTGCATACCAAAAATCACAGAGTTTATTTTCCTCATTCCCACAGGGGACATGTTGCAGTACGAGGATGGCCAGTCTCCTCTGCATAGTCTGGAGCAGGCGGCTTTCCACTACGCATCAGCCATCAGACTCAGCTCCAAAGATGCCAGACTCCACTTCCTGCTTGGTGTCGTTCTGGAGGAGCAGCACCGTGCTAAAGCCATGTATGGCCTCCAGAGGAAGGTTGTGTCAGGAAAGGTTCTGAGAAAGTAAAAACTCTTGTCAGCGATGCTTTGTGAGGTTTTGATGTAGCTAAACATGCATGACTGAAAGGATTGTGTTCATCTTTTGATCAAAGGTTAATTCTTTATTACAATCATTTAAACACTTGTTCAACAGACTCTGTGCAAAAATGTTCACTAATGATGGCCTTCAAGGATCCAGAGTCGAAACGTGATGTTAAGATCTTTGGAACTTATCACGACCACATAAAAGTGTTTCTATTGACATTCACATTGTAACCTTTGCCATGTGAAACATGTAACCCTCTGGGGATTTCTTAAGTCTGTTTAACATTTAAAACTTCATTTTTAAATGTTGATAATAAAGTTGATAATTGTGAAAGCAACTCAATCTCTAATCTTTTCATTCCTCCGTCTCCAGGCTGACACAGACCGGGATGAATTAAGTGACGCCAAATCCACAGCTTGTCAGGATGACATTCTGGCGGTCTGCAAGCTCCATGGTTTCCTGGGCACACCGACAGTCCAGAACCAGCTGCAGGCTTTGGATAAAGAGTACCAGCAGCTCAGAGAACAGGGGCAGTCCAGCAAAGCAGACTACGTTCAGACTCTCTACATCTGGCTCTCAAAGAAAACTGGAAAGGTTACTGTGTCCAAAAATAACCTCTAAAGTTTATTTTCCTTCTTTAATCAAAACAAAAAGGGGGCATGAAAATTCTTTGATTTTCAAACTCTGTGAACATATATTCTCTTAAAGCCTGAACATTTCTCCGTACATATAACCAGATTCTGTGATCACTGTCTCTGTCAGATACTCCAGCTCTTCATTCACAACAGGAGACCTGCAATATGGCTGACCTGATGACCTGAACAGCCATCCTAACCTTTTTGATAACTATTTATTCTGTTCAAAGTCATCGCAAAGACATGGCAGTCCTCAGATAATTTTAGAAAGACAGTCTTTCACTGTTCTCCACCTCTCATAGTTCCAAAACTAATTAGTCAATTTTAATCATTTTGCAAATCATTTTACTCCATTTTTCATAGCTATATATAACAAAGCAACCTCTTTCTTAATACAACACTAAAAACTGTCACAGGTCATGGTCTTGATAAAGCTGCTGTGTTGAACTTTTATTTTGTGCCCATCTTGTGTCTTATCTCTTCGCTGATCCACTCCAATACACACGTGTTCGATAAATAATTTTCTGATAAATACGCCTCATCCTGTTTCCTTTTGTAGTCTGACCCAATCTTAATCTTTGGAGTGGATAATGTAAACAAAGGCTGTTTTGCCAGAGTGCAGACTCCTCTGACACAGAGCTGGTGTCAGTGGTAACAGCCGTTCAAAAGCATTTTATAGAAGTGATTCCTTATGGTCTTGTTTTTGTTTGTTTGTCAAATAAAGGCATCATCATTAATAACAGTCTGTTCTTGAACCATTTCAAACCTGTAATGGAAGCTTGAAGTTCTGCATGTCTATAAAACAAGCGCTGCTTATTGTTCTCGAAAGCTGTCTTGCCAAAATCCCCCACTAAATAATTTCTGATCAATTTAAGAAAGACTGAATTTAGCTCCCGCCCCTCTTGATGCAGGATAGCAGTGCAGCAGTGAAAGATGAAGAGAGCTGTGTCCACCAGGCCTTGATGAAGTACCTGGACGCCTGGTCTATGAGTCCTGAAAGCTGGGAGTTTAACCTGCACGTGGGGAGGCTGCTGCTGCTGCAGGGGACGAGCAGGGAGGCCCTACAGCACCTGCAAAGTGGCCTAGCAATGCGGCCCCTTCATCCCGCACTCAGGTCAGACCACAGAAGTGTTTATGGTCATAAAAGCTGAAATGGTGTTTGGTAATAACAACTATATTTTAAAGATAATGAAGGAGAGTCTATCTTACCAGTTTGGTTATTTTGTCCTGAGGATTTCACACTTGTGTCTGACTCATAGTAAAAAGAAATTCACAAAAAAAAAAAGCGTGTGTGCATTCATTATCTTCTAATTTTGTTAAACACCAAAGCAGGACCTTTTGTTCAAATTTAAGCTCAAGTGTTGACTTGTTGCCATAGCAGAAAACAAATATAAAGTGGCAAAATAATCAAAATTCCAATTTTTCCTTGCACCATAAAAGCATCTTTAACCAATCTCCAAGCGTGCTCTTCAAATGTCTAACCTGATGTTATCCTTATATGATACTGGCCAACATAGCAGGTCAGAGAAACACAGGTTAGACGCGGCCTGTAAAATATATTGAGTAAATGGGGTCTAGATTAACAAGTAAACCACAGACTGAGAGCTGGTTTAGTCGTTTATATGTATCCTTTGTTTCTTTCATTTTTCCAGATTCTTCACAGGGTTGGCTCTGCTGCAGCAGGAACAGAAAGCCTCTGAGGACACCGAGAAGGAGGCCGCTGTGTTCTTACAACAGGGACTGGAACACTTTGTCAGCCAGCGATGCAGCAAGAGGTTTGCGTGTGTCTGTGTGTGTGTGTGTGTGTGTGTGTGTGTGTGTGTGTGTGGAGGTGGTTGCATTTAGCTGGATTCAGAGAGAGTGTGAGGGCATGGTGTGAGGATATTCTGTGTAAGAATGCAGGAGGGAAAACAGGACAGTGGAAGGGATTGTCTGCTGACACACACATATATTGCTGTGTCATGCATACAGTACTCAAGTTTTTTTTGGGTCTACATTTTGGTTAGCACTAGAAAACCCAACAATTAAAAACACATAAATCTGACTGTTAATGAAAGAAGGTTTGTAGATTAGTCAGAGATCTGATCCTATTTGAATAGAAATCGTCGTAACCTCTAAACCGGAAGATCGAGGGTTCCATCCCCAGCTGAGCAACATGTTCGATGTGTCCTTGGGCAAGACACTGCATTGCTCCCGCTGCTTTGGTGGTGGTGTATGAATGGATTAGTGTTGCACTTACTCTCACTTTGGATAAAAGCATCTGCTAAGTGAATTGTAGAATATGTCTGTTTTGCTTGTCTCATGTAGGTTGGTCATAGTCTACCATATCTACCTTTAGTTACAAACATAGTCACCTAACCCTGTGGTTATAGCTGCTGGTGTTTCTTATGTTTTCATGATTTTTGTCCCAGCTGGGTGGAGCCGGATCCTTCAGACCCTCTATCTAGCCTCAGCACACAGTTCCTGCGAGGTCTTCTCATTTTGGGTCATCTGCAGCAGAGAAGAGTGTTGTCTGACAAGGCCATGAGTGCAGAACAAGTCTATCACATGTATGTTTCAATCCAAGATTTTTAAAGACAAATGTGATTGTTTTTATTTACTGGACTGGTGATGACTTCTTCATCAGTGCTTGTGTTTGTTATGTCTTCCAAATAGCTGTGTTAATCTCTAAAAAGGAACATGTGATTCAAAGAAAAGCTTCTGTCATTCACATAAGAATGACCCAGTTTCATAAGTAAGAACTGCAAAAGTCCATAGCTGCCTGTCTCTGTGTTGGAATGCTTCAGTGTAGCAGTCCTCGCTGCCCAGAGTGTGAGTCAGTGTGTGTGTCGTGGCGAGGCTAGCTGGCAGCTGGAGTGGGTGCTCCTGGATGCTCACTTTGCCCTACTGCAAAGGCTGATCCAGCAGGGCGAGGGCCAGGCCAGAGCTGACATCCGGAGGCAATCCCAGGTGGCAAAGAGAAGCCAGGCCCTCACTGCTCTCATACGTCTCACCTCTATCGCCCCCTGTCAGGAGCTGCTGGACATGCAGGAGAGGGTAAACACACTGTTGTATGTTAACAGTTGGTTTTAGTCTGCTTTTATTTTTAATTTCCTACTTTCTTTATTTGCAACGTTGACAACACCAAAAAAAAAAGCTCTGCCAGAGTTTTGATCTATCTCCTCTGATAATGTGTACAGGCATGCCAGCTATCAGTAGTGACAACACCGCGGGACATCCACGCCCTGTGTCTTTTGGGTCTGGCACAGCTGGCTCAATATGACAACAATCCAAAGTCAGACTGGTCCAAAGAAACGCTGACTGATGCCTGCCTCAGCTTCCAGGCCAGCATAGAGCTGGAAGAGAAGACTCAGAGCGGAGAGCCACCTGCACAGCTGAGCAGTGAGTCTGTTTAGTGTATTTTACACATTTAATGTACGGTCTCTCAGAATTATAGCTGGCTAGCAAAGAATAATGCATAGGTAGTCTTATACTTGTATATTTTTTAAGTCTTCATTTACTCCCTGGCATTTCAGAACAAAAGTGGTGGCAGGACCGCCTGGAAGCTGAAAACCAGAAAGCTGCCAAGCAATCAATCACTCAACCAGCAGGAGTTAAGGGACCTTCTGACCCCAGGGGGGCAAACAGTGGTGCAAAGCGGGGCAGAGGAGGGCCGGGTCCAGGGCGGTTTGCAGCAGCTGGTACCAAAGCTCCTGTTCCAACACCACCTGCCCTGACCAGAGGAGGGAAAGCTGCCCGGCGTCCAGCTAAAGCCCCTGTAGCAAGGTGAGGCATGCTGGGAGTAGTACTTATACTACTCACAGCACTTATTAAACCCTGATTAGTAAAAATGGAATAAAGTTATCCTGTTTTGTAATTGTTTTCTGAGTTGTTGCAATATACTTTCTCTCCTGTAGGGGGAGAGCTGGAGCAGTAGCCAAGCCTGATAGATCACCTAAACCATCCACCAACTGTATTAAACCCCATATCCCCTCCAGAAAATCTAAACAGGACTGTTCCTCAAGTGCTGTGGAGAGAGCAGAGGGTAAGGCATGAAGCATTCTGAGTCACATGTGGGGGTCAGGTGAAGAACTTTCTCCCCCAAAGCCTTAGATTTTCCTAATTTAAGCTTAACAAAGTTAAGCTAACCAATCTTAAATTTGAACTGAATATTGTCATTTACAGTTTTACACATCTCTATGTGGATTTTTGAGATTGATGTCAGGAAAGTTCAGATATTCCTTGATGTTATATATTATTTGTGTTCAAAACATTGTTTCAAGAGCCTGCTGTGGCACATACAGAGTGCGGGTCTGGTGCAGTGAACCGCAGGTCTCATATCTCAAGGTTGGGTCTGGCCCGCGCCCTCTTCCGCTCTGCAGACAACCAGGATCGACCATTACAGCTCTACCACGAGGTCATCTCCATGGCACCAGGGGTCAGTCAATAAGGGTCATTTCATCCATTGCCTCAGTTCAGTTTTTTTTAACTGTAGGACTCTCTTGCTGATTAATTCCTCAGTTGATGTGATCCAAATAAGATCGGGTTCATGAATGAACTTTGCAGGTCCACGATGCTTACATTGAGCTCGTTCAGCTGCTGGAGCCATCAGACCCTCAGGCTGCAGTGGAGGTGTACTGCAGATTCCCTCTGAAGCCGGTGGCTGAGCAAAGCTTCGATGATGCTTTCATCACAGGAGAGATCGCCCGCATGCTGATGTCACTGGAACAGTTTGAGCATCCGCAGCTCGGACCAAGCCTCGTAGCATACGGCAAAGTCATGGGCCTAAGTGATTACCACTCCTATTCTTTCAAACACACTGGACATAGTAGTATTAGTCTTCAAGGATGTCAAATATCAGAAGTAGTAGATCAGTTTTTAAGAACAGTAATTAACCATGAAAGAAATGGAAAATTAAATCTGATTTTTTTATTTTAATTACAAGGTTTAGGGTGAACAAATTTGAAAATTATAGATAATAAGGTACAGAAAATTATTTACTGACACACATATAATCCTTTGTACAAGATAAAACATGTTTTCACTCTCTGAATGACAGGCATGTTTAAACAACCACTACAATAGCTTTTTATTTGTTGACCTTTTTTTTGAGTAGTGACCTTCACTTAATGTAACTATTTTGTAAATAGAGTTGTATTGGATTCATGCTGCCTGATCCATGTGATACCACATGCTATTAATAGAGATGTATTACATTCAACTTGACCCGTGCCCACATGCTGTAGATGGCACATAACATAGAGGACATACTTGAAACATGATTCCAGATAAATGACTATTGGAGTAAAGTAGTATAAATGATTATTATTTAAAAGATGTTCCTAATATTATAACATAGTCTTATTTAGTTTGATTTTTAAATCAACATAATGCTGTTTGTAATTTATAGAATAATGACTGTCCATAATGTTACAAACTCTTTAATGTGAATGCATTTATAGTAATGTCGTTTTCTGTTGTGTTTGTAGGCTGCATAGAAAAGTACATTGAAATCTTGGATGAAAAGGGCAACACAAAGCTTCTGAAGAGTGTGTACGCAAAGATCCACGACCGCCAAGACGATGATCAGGAGCTGCAGGACTTCTTCAGGTTCAAATGCTGGATATGAAAAAGCTAGTCATCATCTGACCAATGTCTACATTTATCTTACTTAATCCAAGAGTAAGTCAGAGTTTCATACTGTTTGACAAAAAAACACATCTTTGGACTTTAAGAGGGGACACATGAAGTGCTTTCATGGATACAGACTTCCTACTTATTCACTTAGACTTGATGTTTTTAAATTGGCCATTCTTTTGGGACAAAATGACAGACAATGTTGATCTTTTTCCTCCAAAGGAACATTTAATTGCAAACAGAAAGCTCTCAATAAAATGATGTATCAAAAGTGACAACTTTAACATTAAACAAATATGCAACAAAAGAGGGGTGTTTCAGTGGGCATTGACTAAAATGGCAATAAAGAAAATAAATTGAACCCCTGATGTGTTGTTAAAAGCTCTGTGACTCATTTCTTTGTGTGTATAATTCTGTCATAGGGCTATTTCTCTGCACTACAGGTCTTCATCGCCTGCAAGGATCAGCCAAGCCTCATATATTTGTCAGGGGTAATATTTACAAAGACAACTCAACAAAACTTCAATAATATATTTCCTCAATTATCTGACTTGAATGGATTTCTAAAAAGACAAGTCTATAGATGAGTATCAAATGTACAAAATCTAGACAGACATCTGAAAGACCTGGATTAGAAGATTGTTTTCTAATGTTCTAATAAAAGACGCACCACAAAAGGGCAGTGAATGATACACTATTTGTGCACCTCTGCCGTTGTGACATGTTTCCTCTCACGCTGCAAAGATCTTCATCATCAATGTGTGTTGGGGTCTACTTTTTCACACCGCATTGAGTTTGGTGACAATGAGCACTCGGACAGACTGGTCGAAGCCTGAACACACACACAGGCCTTGCTTGTCGGGGCTCCAGTCCAGGCTGGCGATTGGCTGAGTGGACAGAGTGACATTCTGCAGGAGGTTGACGGAGCCAGCTACACCAACATCCATGTCATCGGAGTCCTTCTTGCTTCTCTGAGCAGGATACTCACTGGAGATGTCATGGAATTTATTTGTATAAGTTTACAGTCAAGAAAGAAATGTAATAGTCAAAGAACAATCATTATGAGTTATTTTTGTATTTTAAAATGGGACGAATGTATTTGAAGATATCTGACTTACTATTTCCATAGATGCAGGTTGCCTGCTCCCCCTGCAGTCATAAAGATTTCTCTGTTTTGAGGCAAATGCTTCACCTGCCAAATGGTCGACTTATGAGCCTAAAATAAAGAAAAGGGGCCATTTACCACCCAAAACCATGAAATCAGTAATGACAAATTCATCAACATTAAGAACACCTGTGGACAAAAGCTCTCAAACCATTCAATGTGTTGTGTGCCAAATACTGCAGAAGTAATATTGTAAAAAGCATTATTTTATTTTACAAATGACCTTAATAGAAAACTTTTTTTTTTTTTTCTTCAAAAGCCACAGTCTCTAATCTCGCAGATCCAGCAAACATTTTGTGAGCATGGTTTTGGGGGATTATAGATTTAAGTGTGTTATTGTAGGATTCCCACAAATAGACACACCTCTTCCTCCACCACGGCCCTGCGTGGTTTTTTTGGCCAGGGTACAAAGTCACAGAAAGAAAATGTTAGACAAACTCAACCCTAAAACACTTGCAGCTGTGAAAACGGTCCCTTTTTTCTCTCTGCTATACAAATGTAAAAATAACATTAACAGTTGTAACCTTTTGACATGTTTCCTATATGTAGGAGCCAAACATTTGTCTGGCTCTCTCCACCCACTTCAATTACCTTTTCGGAAACGGAGGCAAAGCCCTTGGTGGGGTGCTGGGTTCTCATGTCAAAGACGTGGAATTTTCCCTCCAGTGAGGTGGCCACAAGTTTGTTCATGTTGATGTCTTTCCTGTCAAACTCCACAGCACATACCTGGCCATGATGTCACACAAAATAACAAGTCACTACCAGAAATGTTCACATGTCATGGTGCCAAAACAGTCATTTCTCACATGGCAGAATGTGTTGAAATTGACATAATGACTGTGGCTGGTTCAGCTACATTCAAATGGTAATGAATACAAACAGGGCTGTGTAATAAACTGATGGCAGTGCTTTTATATGAGGTGTGAAGAGAACCTCGGACATCCCCTGTGGTTGAATGTCTAAATGATGCTGGGAAGTCATTTCCAGCTCTGTCTCAACATTTGTTGCTATTGGCAACCCCTTCAGTCAAGTACAGGTTTCAGTGCAAAAGAAACAGTATATGTTTAGATAACGTATCATTTAAAATGTCGGTTCCAAATTTGAGCTTAATTCTTTGTTATCAGAGCTGAGAGGATTGAGTTTCTGTCAGTTTAAGTTCTCATTTTCCCTCAAAAATGCTTGTGTTGTTCTTGCTGCATTGCAATACTGTCTACATGAAATATACACATGTATATACATAAACAACTTTACAAAAATCTCATGGAGCTGTAACAGCTGTCATAACAATTTCTTGGTCATTTTTATTGTACATTTCAATAAGAGTGTTGACCTCACCCCATTTTTAATGTTAGTTTCCCACCGTAGAGACATATTCCTTAAGTCGAAGAGTTTGATGTCCCCATTGTCATAACCGGCACACACACAGCGGTCCTGATCATTGAAGGCGTGACCTGTCATGAAAGGTCAAAAGAGAATTAACAGTTTATTTTAGGATGGTACAGGAACATTGTCAAAGCTGGTTTGGACATTCTGAGGTCATGAAATACTTAGGTAGGAATAGAAAAGGGGAAAGCTATCATGTAAAGTTCTCAAGCAGTGTCAGGAATTTGTCTTCACTGGTGAACAGAGAAATAGGAATTATTTGTTTTCTGCACACCAATGACACAATTTAACTGTTTGCATTTAGAATGAATTGATGAACCTGGGCTCATGGCTATGATGATCAGTGGGTCCTTGGAACCATTTCTTTAAAAGCCATTGTAGCTTTACAAATCTTGAAAGTAATATTTTACACACCAAATGCAACAGTCCAGCAGTCCCTCTTGGTTTCTCCTTCCACTGGCTCCATGTTGGCTACAGGTGAATCCTTCTGTCTGGGATCCCACACTTTTACTGTCCCTGTAAAACCAAAGAGAATCTGGCATTGAATCCAAATTCTTGTTTCTGTTTTTGCTTAAAAAAAGTTTCAGTTGCCACAGCATTTTACTTCCTATATGTTCTTACCATCTCTGCTTCCAGTGACTATCTCCGGGGCACCATCACCAATCCCCAGGCCACCAACACCATCAATACCATTCACGATCTCTTTGTGCGCCTTTACGGAGTACACTGGAACATCCGGCATCTCCAGATTCCTGGAGTGTAAAGAAGCATCTGCACTGAATTAACTAACTCCAGTAGACTTTAAATTAGGGCCAGTGTTTTGTTTACCCACTTTCAGTCATTCATCAGTAAATCTCGAAAATACAACATTTTCCATAAAGAGGTCAATTATGTTTCCACTTGAGCCTTTGGAATTAAAACAGTCTTCAATTTAGGTAATACAGGAAGCAGACGTCTGGATTTTAAGGATTTTCATTTACATACCACTCCTGGCAAGACACACATTTTGATACATCAGTGGATGTTGATTTACCATATATTGAGATTTCCATCAAAGTCCCCGGTTGCTATGTGTCTTTGTTGAAGAGAGGTGGCCCCAAATGTCCCACACTTTATGGGTTTAGGTTTCTCTACCTGAAACATATGAGAGAGAAGGGACAATGCAACACGTAGTTATAGTACTTCACTCAATCTTGAGCAGTGTGATACATCGATTAAAAGGTGCGTTATGGGTACGAAATACAGTAGAAATGATTGTGGAAGTTTATTTTATAGAATTGATTAAGATATATCAAATATTGACACACTAGCCAAACTTACTGAACAGATAGATAGATAGATAGATAGATAGATAGATAGACACTGTATTGATCCCGATGGAAATTCAAAGCATCCAGTAGCAGGTTACAAGATGTACATGACATGAAACATTTGTTACAAATTAAACCGCAAAACCGACGCCCCCCTCCCATACATATATATATATATATATATATAAACAATACCCCTAGATGAAACAAAATTAAACTGTAAAATTAAAAATAGATTTATAAAAGTAATGTACATAACCCGTGCAGGGATAAAAATAGATGGACAGATGGACATGTTTGGCATTTCTGTAGCCTGTTAACCTGCAAGCACTGAAGAGCTCGCTCATTGTTAAAAAATGAAATGGGGCGGCAGTAGCTCAGTCTGTAGGGACTTGGGCTGGGAACCGGAAGGTCACCGGTTCAAGTTCAAGGTGCGGACCAAATATGGAAGTTGGTCTGGTAGCTGGAGAGGTGCCAGATCACCTCCTGAGCACTGCAGAGGTGCCCTTGAGCCAAGGCACCAAACCCCCTACCCCCACCACCATCAGCTCAGGAGCGCTGTGTGCAGCTCCATCACTCTGACATCTCTCCATTAGTGCATGTCCACAGGATCCTGTTTATCCATGTGCATATATTTCAGCCTGTGTGTGTTGCATGACTTGCAGAGATCTTAAATCTTAATTGTAATAGCATAGGACCCTTGCATGAGGGCTTTATTAATGACAGGTGCACTGAGCAGGTCCAGAAGTTTGTTATATGTCGTATATTGTATGTTAACAACAACTTGGTAGCTATTTTGATGAAACTAAACACCGATATTTAACCAAGTCTATAATGTTTGACAACTGAAATTCCCCTTGGTGTCTTCATATTAGTCGTTGCTATGGAGACAACCAAGCGAGGCTATTCTAGCTGTTGTGTAATATATAAGATAATTCAGCTAACCCTAACACACAACCATTTGCATGGTTTGTTTCCGAGGTGGGAAAAGGCAGAGATACAACAAACAATCATGAATGTGAAACGTGTTTTTCTACCTCCTTGACAAGTCGAGCTTCCCCTTGTTGCACCTCGTATATTTGCATTACTCCGGTTCCTCTCGGAAAGTTCCCGAGACAGACAAACTTTGAGCTGCAAGGAATCCATTTACTATCAAACACCGTGTAATTTAAACCTTTCTGAACATGCGCAATAATCTGAGGCTTTGCTAGTGGCGATGACATAGTTGCTGCTGAGAGGATAACCCGTAAAAAACAAACAAAAAGAAAACCGAACAGTACTAAATGAAGTGTTTAATGTTGCTTGCTGCCACAACAAAACTACTCAAGACCCTGCCACAGAGTTGTCTGAAGAGATGCCTGACAGAAAATTAAATGTATTTCCAGTCATTATCGCAGTATTCCAGATACGCTGGCTTTTTTTTTTTCGGAAGTTCCATTATTTCTACTCTATTCTAGTATTTTACGGAGATATATTGGTCATTTCTGATAGGTATTCATTTCTTGCTCTCTACTGGCATCAGCGATGTGGCTACGCGGGTCCTTCTTAGTTACACGAGGAAACCCTCATGCCACATTTTCCGTCGCCGTCTTCTTCAGTTTAGGTTTTTCTAAGACTGATTTAAACTTGTTTCACAGGATGGACAGTGGGAAAGATGTCACCCCAGACGCGGGTGCTGCCATTGAGAGTAAACACGACGCAGATAGTTTCACAAAGGTGAAGTCTAAGAAGACTCAGAAACGAAAACGTGAGAAAGATGCGGCGGACATGGACACAGAAGAAGAGCCCGTGGCGAGCAAGAGACCACAGTTTCCACCGATTTCAAGCGACAAATTAAAGGTAACAATAGTTTACTTTTTTTTGTTTTGTTTTTGCGTGTGTTTTTCTCCTCAATGGTATCAGACATTAATAATAATATTCGTAAAACCTAGTCGTAACAAAGTAATCCGTGATGTCCATGGGTAAACTAGTTTGCTATTATGCGCCTGCGCACTTCAGTTTTGTCAACACTGAAGAAAACTACTTAAGTGATGTACATTTAGCACAACTTTAAATTATTATTCAGCCATATTGATGTTTATTCCTTTACTTTTGCCAAATATGTGATAATAATGTTCTTTAATTTAACTCAACCATTTTCAAAAATGTCCTTTATTATTGCAATGTGCAATATGTAATTATATATATTTATATGTTTTTATACTGTATAACGACTCCCCTTTAATTAAGGGCAGAAGACATTTAAACTTTTAAACTTTAGCCTGAGTTGCATATATCATATATCAAACTGTATTGTGGGCTCATGTTTTTTTGTATGGGTGGGATATGTATGTATATATGTGTTGTGTTGTGTGTTTGTATGTATGCTGGCTGCTGGAACACCTACATTTCCCTGCTGGGATGAACAAAGTATATCTTATCTTATTAACCAGCCCCTGGCTGTAGCTCAGTCTGTAGGGACTTGGGTTGGGAACCGGAGACATCTCTCCATCTCTGCATGTCCATGTGTGTGTTTATTTCATGTCTATGTGTGTGTTGCATGACTTTAAGAGTGTAAAAACAGAATTTCCCCTTGCTGGGATCAATAAGAGTAGATCTTAAATCTCACACACCTCATCAGAAGTATGACGCACTCATGTAAACTCAGTAAATTGCAAGTGAATGAATAACGACGTTAACGTTTTATTTACCTTTTTATTATGACATTGTTAAATATTCTTGCAAACCTTTAAGCAATAACATAAAAAAAGTGCCATTCAACGTAACAATTCATTATTTATTAGGGTTTTAAAAACAACTTCATAACGTTTGTCTTGATCTTATTGTTTTTTATGAATGTACAGTGTCTCTGAGTTCTTGAAAATTGCTTTATAAATATAATAATGTATTGTGCTTTTTTTTATTTGTGTTTCAGGGACCAGATGAAATGCGCAAAGTCGCGGTCCCAGCTAACAGATACACACCACTGAAGGAAAACTGGCTGAAGATTTTTACCCCAATAGTAGAGAACCTACAGCTTCAAGTTAGATTCAACCTCAAAACTAGAAATGTTGAAATCAAAGTAAGTTTTCCCAGCAGATGCAAGTAATATTGATAAGATCCAGAATCTATACAATAAGGTCCAATTGTATTTCCATGTTTTTTGACTCTAATGTGTGTAATTTTACTTCCTTATTTCAGACTTGCAAAGAAACACAGGACATTGGCTCCCTCACTAAAGCAACCGATTTTGTTAGAGCATTTATTCTGGGCTTCCAGGTTGAAGTAAGTCCACTAACAAAGCGTTCAAACTACACTCTATAGAGCTGACAAGTAAAATTATTGACTTTGAATGGACAGAAATTTGAATCCAAGCATCCAAGTGTTTGTTTTTGTTGAGTGGTTAATACACACCTTTTCTCTCTCCAGGATGCCTTAGCTCTAATCAGATTAGATGAACTTTTCCTCGAGAGCTTCGACGTCACAGACGGTAAGAGGGCACTGACATGGTCAACTTTCTGTTCTGAAACTCATAACTTTTTTTTCCCTTCACCTGCTAGAAAATAAAGTGTCAGATTTCCTGTTTGTTGCTTCAAGTTGTGCTCTCTTTGTCTGTCATGGCAGTGAAACCTCTGAAGGGAGACCACTTATCCAGAGCCATCGGAAGAATAGCAGGCAAGGGAGGAAAAACCAAATTCACCATTGAAAACGTCACGAAGACTCGCATTGTGCTCGCAGACACGTGAGTACTATTTTACTAATCTTTAACTAATGCTGTAAACAAAGTGTGGTATGAAAGTTATGGCTATAGTCATTATTAGAATATTTAGAGTATTCCAATATTTTTTATAGCATCTTCAACGTAACACTACAGTAAAACAAAGAAGTTTAAGTCTGTTGGCAGGTACTGCTACAGCCATAAGACAAATGTTTCACATAACTAAAAACAACTTGTGGATAACTGTTGTTAATCAGTTGATCTTAAACGGAACAACACACACATATTTTTCACCTTTTCCCTGAGAAATGTTTTCACATTTCAACAAAAATAATTACTCGAGCAAAACAGGGATGATTTGTTTCGTTTTATGCACCAGAACATTCAGTAAAGCATCACTATTGTTTTTTCAATTGTTTTTCATTTAAAAATGGATCACGCAGATCTTTATTTTTTTAAATTAGTGATTGTCATTTGACAATAAAGAATCGGATTCATTTTCTGTCCCTGGTTCCCCTGAAGCATTTCAACAGCCTTTATGTCTTTTTACAGGAAAGTTCACATTTTAGGGTCTTTTCAGAATATCAAGATGGCCCGGACAGCAATATGTAACTTAATCTTAGGTAAGTCAAATATGTTAACAGTTAAAGAGACCAAAAAAAAAAACAGTTGTCCTATTTGAAACTGAACTCCTTTATAAATTCACACGTAGTTCTGAGAAATTACCTTTAACGACCTTTTTGTCCCGACAGGAAGTCCACCTTCAAAAGTCTACGGCAACATCAGGGTTGTGGCAAGCCGGACAGCAGAGAGATTCTGAATTCTCATCGGCTGCTGTGTGTATCTATCCTCTCACTACATTGACCAGTATATTACCACTTTGGTCTGTGGTGATATGATGAGACTGTTTTGGACTGACCTCCCAGAATCCTCTGTAATGGCTTCGCGTTTGAAGCTGTCGGCTGGTTCTATGCTAACGTGTTTGGATCAGTTGAAGCATGAAGCAAAATCTTGATTCATGCATTTAAAAAGTGTAATTACATATAATTGCATGGGTTTGTGTAAATAAATAAATTCAATCCCCAGTGAGCAATGAGTACATTTGGTCACACTGTTGTTAAATAGGTGAGATCATTTAACAGGAACTAATGAAAATGTACACATGACAATGTTCCTGTCAATAACCTCCAGAGGGAACTACTGTTTAAAAAAAGTTCCATACAAAAATGTTATTCAAAGTTTTATTTAATTTTCATACAGTATCAAGTTTCCAACAGTCCCACAGCATAAGATGCAGCATGCAGAAAAAGAAAAACCAAATAAAATCTTTCAGATATCCCCACACTAACTAAAAAGAACCCAAGTCCCTCAGAGAAAAGAAGCACTTACCAAACTAAAGCGCGGTCTGAACTACACAGAGAACAGAGAGCCAGAACTGCATTTAACAAATACTTATATACAAAAGAAAAAAAACAAACGTCCATTTTTTCCCCTTTAAGCTGAGTACAGTGTGTGGCAGTTTGAGACGGGATCAGATATGCAACTGTTACTGGAGTAGAAGCATCTGGCTGACCCAGGTAAAATACAAAAAAGTTACATGTAGTTCAGTTCAATTGGATTACCTCTCTTAATATGTGTACATTTATTTAAGTTTGGCAACATCCATATTGTATACCATTAGATTCTTAAATATATTCACATCACCATCCATGTGTAAACAAGAGGATTATTTCAAAAGATTGATCTACGTGCACAACACAAAAATATAGATTTCCATGTCATGCAAGCACAGGGAGGCCCGAGCCGTGCAGAGCTTTGGGATCAAGGGACCACGGAGCGCTCCAGAGTCACATCTGACTGATAACTTCTGTTCAAACCAGCAGTCGGCCTCCAAAGCGAAACCAAAAAGCTTTTTCCTGTTTTATAATACCAAGCAATTCCCCCTTGGATATTAAAAATTGGTTCAATTTATGTCAATTTTCTCCCTGTTGGTGTGAGAGGGAGAAGCCAACTTTTTGAAATGTACACTTAAAATAAACTACAATTTACACTCCATTTTTCTTTGCACACTGATCATGCCAATGTTTTGGAGTGTTGTGTTGCGTTCAAGAAAACTCTGACCCGTCCTGCTCTGTACTGAGAAAGGTAAGTATTCAGAAGGGGCTCATCATGTGAAGCAGAGGCGAAGCCTTCTCTTGCTGTAAAAGATGATGAGCACACATTGATTACCTAATATACACATATTGGTTAAAAAAAAAAACACGCTGCCTGCAGATAAGTCTCTTAAATAGCTCTAAGCTAGCACAAATGGTGTATAATCTCACCATTATTCACTCTCAGACTATTACTCTCACTTCTTAGCCAAGTCCATCCAGCCCCTGTTTTGAAGACGAAACAAAAGCCTTGCAATGAATTCACCATCTTTCATTGGTCAGTGTGAGTGCAGAGCTTTTTCTTTGAACTGCAGATTGTCTTATGGATGCACACTGAAATGACACACGCTTCATCAAGAGTAAACCATGTATCAGTTTGCAGCCACAGATTATTTTGGAAAGACATTTTCTTGGCATTTAATTATCCACCTAGATTTTCAGGACAGGAAAAAACGAGGATTATCTCAAACAATATAAACACATTCTTAAGTATGAATAAAGCTAGCAACTTCATCACAAAAAAAGACGTAGTTCTTTTGAACGAGTGACCAAAGCTTCGCTGGTGTAATCAAACATCTTGTATGGAAGCTAAAACGACACAATGTAAAAAAAAAAAAAAAAAAAAAATCTGAAATTTAGTTTGCAGTTAGAAACGTCAGCAGCCAGTTAGCATGGCATGAATGACAGCGGTGATAAAGGTAATAACTCAGACTGGTTTCTGGATATGTTCTGGTTGGCACTTCATACCCTACTTTCTAGTTGTACTGGAAGTCAAGTGTTCAAATACTATACACTTCAGCAGACAAGATATACTTGTTTTTTTTTCTTCTTTATAAAAGACAAGAACAAAAAATAAATATCAAAAATAACAATTACCAAAAAAAAAAAAAAGGATGAAATGTGAAAACGCCAACCAGGCTCTTCACTGTGCCCCCCCTTCCCCCAAACCGTTCTCCCCCCTCATCCACAATCTGAGATGCTCTTGCGAATGACAAATAGATGTCCTTCAGTCTCTTAAAGTGCTACGACCAGGTTATTGAGAGGATTTACAGTTCAACAACACTTCAAAGTTGTGGCTTCGCAAGGCCCGTGTTTTTTTTGTTTTGTTTTTTGTTTTTAAAAGAAAAGTGGCTTCACAGAAAGAGAGAGAGAGAATACTTCCATTGAGTTACACAGAGAGCATTTTGCCGGACGTCTTCAGCAGATCTTCAGAGATGGTGGAGAAAGCAAGTGTCGAGGAAGGAGGGGGGGAGGGGAGGGGAGGGGGGGAGACAGCAAGCGGAGGAGTGTTCACACATCCACCACCATCTTTTTGTGTATATCGAGACCTCCGACCACCTGAAGGAGGAAGAAGAAAAGACCAATCAAGTTCTGTTACAGGAAGTGATTGTGATGGTTAAAGTTAGGATGATTGGCTAAAAAGTACAGGTGTGAAATATAACACTATATTATTTATGAAAGCAGAACCTCAATAAGCTGCTTCAGTTTTTGGTGAAGTTATCATGGATGGACAAAAACCCTCACCAGCACATCACCAGGATCATTTTACCCGCATTAGAGACTCTTAGAGAGAGTAGACATCACAATGTTTCTCTTTTCACAGGCTGAGTATTTCTCACTGTGTAACATATGTGATTTTGACACCAAAACGTGGTGTTATTCTAGTGAAATCTGGCTTCCACAGTGCAGTGTTAACAACTCTCCATTTACTACTACAAACTTCTGTTTTTATAATCAATGTGTTATTCTTTACAGTCATGATTGATGCAGTTTGTACTGCTAAGAACAGGACTAACGTAAGCCTTACTGAAATCGCAGCAGCACTTTATTAAAACCGCGATCTGATATGTCCCTGCAACATCCTGGTAATGCACTCCAACAAGGACGAGAGCCTTTTTAGTTCAAGGCTCCAGAGATACAGCCGTCAAATGTGGGCCTTGTGTCTGTCAGAGGGAGAGCAGCTGCCTTTCACTTTAGAAATGAACATGCTCTTCAAATCAATAGAACAGAGTCACAGATTCTCAATAAGTCAGTCAGCAGGCTTCAAAAAAGACAACACAGAGCTGCTTCAGAGAGTAAATGTGAAATAATTAAATGATTTTAAAAATAGCTCAAGGCCGAACTAATTTCTCCTCTTAATGAGATGTGCAAAGAATCAGCCTCTTATTCCACGCATGAATGTTTTATTTTTCTAACTTTTATAGTCATTCTTGTTGATCTCTAAAGAGTATTACTTTGAACCTTGTAAAGAAAACGTGAGTGTTCTGCGTATTAAGTAAATAAATGAAAGTCCTGGGAGTCAAATAAGGAGAACTCTACACCAGAAATCTCTCATAAATAAAAGGTTTTGTGTCTCTTAACAGGAAGCATGAAAATAAAAACCCACAGCTCCTCTGTCTAACAAAAAAAAAAAAGGCTGTTTTCAAACTTCTTTTGCCCTTTTGACATTTGCCTTAACCATAACATGCTGAATCGGCTGAAATGTCACCGCCCCCATAACAACCCAGGAGGGTTTGGACTTACTGCACAGAACTCTTCGAACGATATCCTGCCGTCTCCGTCCTTGTCTGCATTGATTATGGTCTTGTCCACGATCTGCTGGAGCTGCGTGTCCTTCAGGTTGTTGCCTACCATCATCTTCAGCACCTGGAAGAGCTCGCCGTTGGAGATGTAGCCATCTTTGTCCATGTCATAGATCCTGAAAGCGACTGTGTGGTGAGGCAGGATGTGGCATGAGAAAAGGGAGAAGCAGGAGCAGAAGAGACGGTCAGTAACGTTGCAGCAGCAAATGAATAACTGTTTGATAAGTTCAGCTCTGAGGGTTACTCATCAGGCTCACAGTGACGTTTGAAAGTCTTGTGAACATAAAGTCGCTTTCTCAAAGTCAGGATTTGATTGATTACTTGATTCTTAAAAGAGAGCAGCATTGAAGAACAAAGGTGGGCAGAGATTTCATTATTCATAAAGCACATGTTAAGACAGCAGCTGTAGTACTGTAGAAGGTAAGAAATATGAGGCATTGCAAAGTTATGAGAAAAAGATGGTGTACAGGATATGTGAACAGAGGGTGCAGATCTAGTTCAGCAGAGGGCTGTGAGTTTGAGGTTGCTTTTGTAGGAGAGGTTGAGGCCATTTGTGACTTTAAATACAAACACCACAACATTTAAGTCCACAAGAAAGACTACAGGAAGTCAGTGCCGTGAGGTGAGAACAAAAATGAATTGTTCCTTCTTCCTACAACTTCTCAAAAACCTGTTTTGAACAAGTTACAGGTACAATAAAGACGACTGTGTCTACGGCATGCAAACATGATCAAGATTGGAATAGATAGTGAATTATAAAACCTTGACCATGTTCTGAATAAAAGAAAAGGTTTAATGTGGAAATGATTAAATGAAGAAGAAAATGTAAAAAAAAAGTATTCCAAACGTTAACAGAATAAACATGTTTAGTATCATAGATGTTCTTCAGCTCTACCAGCTCCTGATCATCATTTACACTTTGTTGCCCAGGAGAGTTTGTTTTGTTGTAGCGGTATGGCGAGGTGACTCAAACAGCAGCGTGGTTATAATGAAGTCACTCACATCGAAGCTTCTGTTCCTTGTCACCCTTGACGCTGAACTGTGAGACTCCCTCGATGAACTCTGGGAGAGGAGGACGAAAACAAACCAAGTTTCATTAGGCTTCAGCATGTTCTCCACTTCAGTATTGCTGATGTTAAAATTGTGATAAACATGTTAGTGCATTAATATGTTAGTGTATTACAACGCTTTTCCCAAACTTTCCCAGCTTGCTTACTCACTGCTATGGAACGATCTTATCTAGTAGCTTGATATTGGAATCGTATTATTTGGAATCATGTATTTTAGTTAAACATCTTAGATGATTGTGTCTAACACTGGAGACTTTTCCCACTTCTGTTCCATTATCATATACTTCTCTGTCACACTCGGTTCAGAGAGCAGCTTTACAAAAGTTTGAAATCAGACTTAATGCTAAACAAATCTGAAAACGCTGTCTTAGATTATCAAAGTAAGAAAACGAGCAGGAGCCCGTGCAGAGCGTATGAGAACGGCATAGGAGACATTGTTAGAGAAGTAACATTAGCATTAACACAAAAAAAGGCCAGTCCAACCATACAAAAGGTGTCAGAATACAGGGGACACTATTGGATACATTGTGATTTATTGCAATACTGTAAGCAATGCAATATATTGAATTTTTTTTCTAATAGGAAACCTGTTAGAGTTCAAACAAACATCAGGAGATGCATCAAATCTAAGCGAATAAATGTGAGAGATCAGAGGGATTTGCTTCGATCACAGTCACTGTAACATCAAATATCAAAGCTCTACTCTGTACTCGTGTCTGCAATCTCCAGAAAAATCAATGGAAATTTGCCAACACTAGAAGATTCTTTTTAAGCAAATAGAACGATTTATTCAAAAGCAAGGCCTTCTTTTAGTAGCTACGTAGCTACACAACAGACAAGAGGGACATTCACTTTACAAAAGTCATGCTAGGAAAACTTGAGAGTAAGCCCCTCAGAGATACGACAGAGCTGTGATCAACATTTATGGAAGCAGTCATCTCAGATGAATATCAAACCAGTCAGCAGTGCTCGGTTATTATTAAGCAGCTCACAGAATCAATTAGACCAGAATAAAAGCTGTTTAGTGCAAACCTTTCTTCATACAACTCCAGCAGAGTTTGTTACTTACCTTTAAAGTCTACTTCCCCGTTCCCGTCTGTATCAAATATGTCGATGACCCTCTGCACCAGCGGGTTCTGTTGAAGCTCCGGCAGCGACATGAACTCCTCCACGCTGAGAGAGCCGGAGTTATCTAGGTCGAGTTTCTTAAACCTCTTCCCTAGCCTCTTAATCTCATCAGCATCGACTGGACAAAGACAAAAGAAAAAAGAAAAGAGAGAGAGAGAGAGAGATAAATAATTCAGTTGTAATGCATCTCCTGGATCATCAAAAGTGGAAGAAAACTAATAATTAGGTTTGGAGATGTACCAGCTGTAGAATGGAAGGAGGATATAAAGTGTGTTTTTTTTTCCCGGCAGCAATATTCACTCAACATGGATTGAGAATCACAAGCGCTAACTGACTGTTCTTGACTAATACCTCCATGAACAGTAGCCATATATGTCGGTGTCTACCACTTAGTACTCGGCCAAGGAAAACCCCTTTTGGCTGCACAGACAGAACGGAGCTAACTGCTCTAGCTGCAGACGTACAGTCACCATATTGTTCCAGACACACCTTAATTGGGTCAACAACTACAAAGCTTCAAGAAGAAGAGTTTAGACGTTACATGAAGCTAACCCCTGAAGCTGTCTCAAGACAACAGCGGTTAACCTAAGCCCTAAGAAGAATGAAAAGTGAATAACTTGAAGCCGAGGAGAAGCAACAGAGGAATAATCTTTTTCTATAAACTTACAGTTTTTGTTGTCAAATGTTTTTTTATCAGACCGGTTCCGGACCTTTCGTTCCCCTGCCATCACAAACAGCCCTGTGTCTCCCCTGCACACTGTCCTGAACAATAGCAGGGAGTAATCCAGGAGCAACAACAGAGCCAGTTGTTAAATACTATATAAGCTCATTCACGCATGGTCACCTGATAACACGGGCCAACCACACACTACCACTTTGCTCTGCCTTAATCTGGGGTCCTTAATGACACAGGGCTATCTATTAATCTGAATATGAAGCTCACAGATTTATGAGACTTAGATTTCAGGTCATTCCAGTTCAGGTCAGGTTGACTGACCTCTGTGAGGATGGCAGGCTGAAGTAAGCACTGGGAATAGATAAGGACAACACCACACAGCTGGAAGAAACAGTGTCCATGCTCAAGCCCAGTGACTCTGCACTCACCTTCAGCAGAGAGGACGTGGTGAGAGCCCTCAGGAGGACAAGGGAGAGCAGCTCACCTGGTCCAGACAACATCAGTGGCCGCATCCTGAGGCACTGTGGCGAGCAGCTAGGGGGCGTGTTTCAGACCCTGTTTCAGAGCTCTACGGACAGCAGTAACAGTCCCCCAGCTGTGGAAACACTCTACACTCTAAGCCCCGCCAAATCACTGAATGACCTCAGGCCTGTGGCCCTCACGTCTCTGGTGATGAAGGCCATGGAGGGGATCATAAAACAACACATCATCAGAGAAACCGACTCCCAGATGGATCCGCTACAATTTGCTCATCGCGCAGGCAGAGGTGTCGATGATGCAAAAACATTCATAATAGACACTGTTCAAAAACACCTGGAGCACCCCAACACCTCAGCCAGACTCCTGTTTGCAGACTTCTCCTCTGCATTCAACACCCTGCAGCCTCACATCCTGGCTGACAAACTTTCAGCTTGCTTCCATCTGAACGACCAGCTTATCCTGTGGATATTGGACCTTCTGACCAACAGATCACAAGAGAGTTCTGGTCAACAACACCTTCTCCAACACACCTCAACTGGCTCCCCCTCAGGGCTGTGTGCGCTCACCTCTGCTCTTCATCCTCTACACCGATGACTGCAGAACCACACAGCCAAACTGTCACCTGGTGAAGTACGCGGACGACACAGTTCCCCTGTCTCTGCTGTCAGGCCCTCTCAACTATTCTTCTTTCTCTTACAATATGATGTTCATAGAATGAGAGACATGTGGGCGTGGGTTGTGTTTCGGGTTGCACACTTTCAGACGCACAGTGCTGCTTCAGTTCAGTGACTAATCAGAGTGGTTGTTGTTGAGGAGAAAAGTTGGATGCAAGTAGAAAGTAAGGAACGCTGATTGAGAAAGAGAAAGTCTGGCCGAGCTAATCCACACAAGCAGATATTTGAGATGGCCACAATTAAGAAATCAATAGTAAAGATCAGAATGTCTCTTTAATCTTTAAAATTAGTTCATCAAGTGAACTGATTGAACAGTTACAATGTAACATGTAGTAAAAGTTTGAGCTTCACGTTTTGAACTTGGTAACCTGTAGTTCCAACAATAGAGGTGTAGAATAGGAGAACAGGCATTGATAATAATTACTAGGTTATTATCGATATTTTTTGTTGTTGTTGTTATATTTACATATTAAGTACTCAGGAAAACATCAACTGAGGTCCCATAAAACTCCACGGTGGTCTTGTGTAATGATAATGAGATGACACGGTCAGCTTAGTTATCGATCAGTCACAAGGAGGAGGTGTTTTAATGACTGTAGTTGCATTGTGGAGGGTCTAAGCATCTATCAAGCATATCTTATGTAAATGTCTGGCTGAGTCATTCTACCAGCAGGCCGTGTTTAATCATGTTTAAATGGCCTAGTGTATAAAGTTGTTTCAGTCAAGGATTAGAGAAAAGAAGAATAATACAGTCTACTCAGAACTCCTTCGTGCAAATGCGAGTGGAGGGGAGTTGGAGGTGTGCCGCTGGTGGAGAGCGGAGTCTTCAGAATAGCGGAGGAGTCGCCAAACAGCAGTTTGTTTTGGTTGTAATGGATTTTTTTTTTTTTTGCATTAAAGAAAACAATTTAATTGTAAATAAAAGATTGATTCATAAAAAGTAAAAAAAATAAAATAAGTGAGTGCATAAATATTTTATACAGAAGGAGGACTCACAGGAACTTAACTTAAATCAAGATGTTAAAAGGAAAATCCAATTTCTTCTTCTTACTGCAGTACACTGATGCTTTGAGCGATAATTTAAACTTGAAGTATAATTCTTCGTCATGTTCAGCTGTTCCTTGATGGATTATTCTCGTAATCATGTTCAGCATTAACATCAGCCACTTGTGGCTTTGTGCAACACTGCACCTGGTTCATTGAATTTGTGATGCAAAAGGGGCTCAGCTTTTTTTTGCTTAATAGGCAGTTTTATCCCCGTGCATCAGAGGTAGGTAGGGTAGATTGGTCGGCTGGTTTACAAGTCTGTTTTTAGGTTCCTGACATCTCCTGATACATCATGAATCTGAACAAACAAACACCCTGCACAAAATCTGATAAACGCTACAGGGTTTCTGTGTCCACTAGGTAAGATATATCAGAGCCAAGCACCCGGCTGCTCTCTGACACAAAACGCTTCCTTATCAGCAGCTGCCTGTTTCCTGTTCACAGCACACAGCACCAGCTGGGCTCAGACCTGTTACGAATGTGTGAGAGGCATCAATGCTACAGATTTAAGTGCATAGTGGGCCCTCCTTAAAATCCAAACTCTTAAATCAATGTAGCCTGTGCTGCAGACAGATACGTCTTCATGGGGTATTTGTGATTTAGGGTTCCTGACAAAACTTCGTTGAGAACATACACACATCTAACATTCTGAAAGTGGGTGCAAAAACTGATGACAAAGAACAACTCTGAAAGTAACGCTCCCTTTTCAACCACTGGTACTTAATTAAAAAGCACTTACAACATACCCACAATATATTATAGGATGGAAAAATCAACAACACTTATCATCCTGTATGGCTCTTAGAATTAAACTGTCCTCAAACAGCAGGTGTTCATGGAAATCTTTTAAACTTACTCACTCACAGTTTAGCTTCATTTTGTTTCACACTTGAGGTTTATAATATAGTACAATAAGTTGTTTATAGCAAGCTAGTACAGTACAAGACTTTTACTAACACATTTTTTACACACATTTTTTGAGGGGAGCAAAATATCTTCAATTATTGTTATCGGCAAAATCCCCCCCAAAAATTGCGATATTATTTTTTAATCAATATACTTTACCCCTAGTTTTTAGGGTCCTTAAAACTACGACTTTATAGTTATTCTCTGCAATAAAGAACAGCTGTTGTGGTTAATTCTGTGTAGGGACATGGTCATTTTCCAAAATCAAGGTGTATTGAATCTGTAATGTATCGTGGGGGTCGTGGGGATTAGCCTGCCATAACTGCTGACTTATCAAACCTAAAAGCACTTCCTTTGGATTCATTAAGTTCATCTTTTATTATCTCATAAAGCCTTTTTTTCTGTAAAATCTGTAATAGTCAAAGTGAATGGTTAGAAAACACCCAGTGGACTTGTGATATTATCTGATATATCTTCCATTATTTAAAAGCTCTCGTGTAAAAACTCCTGACTAATCAAGTGATAAAATAAGCTTCATTTCCTAACAGCTTTACAAGAACCAACTGCCATAATCCTTCCACCACAGCCAAGATCTCAAAATGCAGTGCGATGACAGTTACCAAAGAAAGTGTCCGACAAAGAAGCCAGGAGCTAGGATGGTGTGTTTACAAGCGGGGGAACATCATCAAATTAGGAGGAACAAAAGTGTTGCTGTAATACAGGACAGCTGTGATCACTGACATGGCTGTGCTTGTTGGAAAAGTGTTAAGTCACAAATATGAGAGCCAGGAAGAGATGAGTACTCTCCCTCTTTTTATTAGTCTCTTTTCTTTAATAAATGACTGATGCAAAAAGGTGAGCGAGAGCGCATGGAACATTACAGTAGATTGTTGCAACTCAGTTTGCCGTGTTTCTGCATACATCTTTTGTTTCTACATTTAAAAGCACATATATTAAAACGAAGGATTTTCTATGACAGCTCTGCTAAATGGAACCTGTTTATGCTGATCACAAGTCTTGCAGAGGAGGAGAAGACCAATGTGATTTTAACCTCAGCGTTGGGCCATGGCCTTTATGTTTGAGCCTTTGGCAGCACAGACAGCTGCAAAGAAGTGGGCGATGCTGCAAACTGACACTCAAATGCACACCTCTGTCCCCTGGTGCTAGTTAGAATATAGATGAAGGCAGAGAAGAGCTGCAGGTATTCCATCTAGATGTGATAAAGCACTGTTAATCCTATAGTCCCATTTTGCTAAATATAAAAATACAGTTATATGCAATACAATTGTTTCATTTTATGCAATATCCAAAGGAAAGCGTTTTGTAAGAGAACTA